CGCCGCCGCCCCCGCCCGCCCACACGACAGCCGCCACCGCTGCCCGGCCCGCGTGCCCGCGCGCACAATAGCCCCTGTCGCTGCGCCGCCCCGCTTGCCATCGGCGCGCGCATGTGACTACCTCCTCCCGCACACGCGTGCAATAACCACCAGTGCCCCAACCACGCGTCAGCCGCCGGCGTTGACCCACCGCGCGCGCCCACTCGCCGCTTGTGCACCACGCGCCCACGGGGCAGCCGCACCACTCCCACCTGCCCGGCCGCGCACGCAATAGACATCGGTACCTCGTGAATCGTGGGCAATAGCCGCCGCTACCCAGGCTTACAAGATGGCCCCGGCCATGGTACCAGCCACGGAGCTGCTGGCCTTGCACTGCGTGGAGGGGCGGCCCGGCTTGCCTCGAGTAGGTGGCCTTCGTCGTCCAGTCCGTGGTCATCTCAACGGGCTGCAGATGCAGCTGGCCTCCACCTTGCACGAGCCACGAAGCTGTTGGGCTCGATCGATGAGGAAGGGAGGCGCGCTTCAGATCGCGCGGGTCAAGAAGGGCCCTCCCCATCATGGCGGCCCTCTCGACGGTCTGCACGGGCACGCGGAGGGCCAGGGCGGGGCGATGGTTGGACTCGCCGACGCACGCACGACGTGCAGCCGCTTCGCAGAGACGCACAGCTTGGCCGGGCGAGCCGGGCAACTGCTGCAGCTTCGGCGAGCGCGCGGAGGAGTCTGGCTGCTATAGCTCCAGCGAGTGCGTGGGCGAGCAAGTCTGCTGCAGCTCCAGGGTTCACTTCCTTGCCTGTTAAGTGTAGTTGTTAGCTACTAAGCACCATGCGTGTATGCAATCAAACACCGAATGAAAATTGCTTCACGGTGACAAGACATCACATGCAGACAACCAAACTATTTGTCAACATCGTTTTTGCCTTATTTTCTCTTAACCAGGCCCTGGTCAGCCTGACTCATTTTTGTCCTCTGTACCTGCACTATTTACCGGAGACAACCAAACGGCCCATAAAAAAGAGAGCAAGAGCATAAACATCATGAGAATCTTAAAATATCTAAATACCAATTTTTTTTTTCAAAATATCCAACAGAATTACATGATGCATGCTTGTACGAACACCACCCAATCCCATGTGGGAGTAAAATGATTGGTGCACCCACCCAGCAAATGGAATCCCAGTCGCGCCAAGCTCCAAATCGAATCTAAAATTCCCCAATCCCACACCTCCCTCCACCGTCCTCCCGCCACTAGACGCTCCCGTGGTTGGTCGTCACCGGCGCGTGCTCGGACTCACCGCCGCTGCAAGAAGAAGCGAGCGACACCACCCAGTCTAGTGTCTCCTCCGTCCGTCCTCCTCCCACCACCCACCAGGACGGTGACAATGTCACGCCTTCAGGTCCGCTCTTTCTCCAACTCTGTTTCTTCACACGCCAACGAGCTGCTGGACAAACTCCAAGGCCATCTGCACTCCAGGACGCTCAGGCCAGACCTCGTGCACCAACTGTTCGACGAAATGCTGCGCCAACCAGTCCCAGTATCAGTACGTGCACTCAACGGCTTATTTGCTGCCCTTGCGCGTGCGCCGTCCTCCACCATCTGCACCGATGCCCCTGCCCTCGCCATTGATCTCTTCAACCGCATGGCCCGAGCAGGCCGTCGCCAGGTGCCAGCACCCACCATTCACACCTACAGCATACTAATTGAGTGTTGCCAGCGAGCATGCCGCCCAGACCTAGGGCTTGCCTTCTTCGGCCGCCTACTCAAGACAGGCATCAAGACGAATGCCATTACCTACAGCAGCTTACTCAAGTGCCTCTGTGACATGAAGCGCACGGAGGAGGCTTTGGGCGTGCTGCTCCACAGGATGCCCGACGACCTGCCTAATGCCATCTCCTACTCAGTAATTCTCAAGAGTTTCTGCGACAGTGGTAGGAGCCAGCTTGTGCTTGACTTGCTCCGGATGATGGCCGAAAAAGGATCTGACCACTCTCCCAGCGTGGTGTCATACAGCTTGGTAATCGATGGCTTCTTTAAGGAGGGTGAAATAAGCAAAGCATGCAATCTGCTCCATGAAATGATGCAGCAGGGGGTTGTGCCCGATGTGGTGACGTATAACTCCTTTATCGATGCGCTATGCAAAGCAAGAGCAATGGAAAAGGCAGAGGTAGTTCTTCGATCAATGGTTCATAATGGTGTCCAACCAAATGCTGTCACATATAGTAGCTTGATCCAAGGATATTCAACTTTGGGCCAGTTGAAAGAAGTCGCTAGGCTGTTGAAAGCAATGAGAAGCCAAGGCAGTATGCCAGGCGTTGTTATTTGCAGCTCAGTCATGGACTACCTTTGCAAGCATGGAAGAATCAAAGATGCCGAGGAAATATTTTACTCCATGGCCGTGAATGGCCGAAAACCAGATATAGTCTCATACACTATTATGCTCCACGGGTACGCTATAGAAGGATCCCTTGTTAAAATGATTGATCTCTGTGAGCTGATGGCAAGAGATGGAGTTGTACCCGACCTCCGTTGTTTCAACATACTGATTAATGCATATGCTAAGTATGGCATGATGGATGTGGCCATGCTTTTCCTTGAAGACATGTTGAAGCAGGGTGTGAAGCCTAATGAATTCACTTATTTAACTGTGATATCTGCATTTTGCAAGATGGGCAGGATGGATGATGCGATGGAAAAATTCAGTGAGATGATTGATATGGGAGTACCAGTTGACACCGAAGTTTACATGTGCATGGTTGAGGGTTATTTTAATCATGGTGATTCCATGAAAGCCGAGAAATTTATTACCAAAATGAAGAACAGGGATATTCATCATAAGCTGCGGAAAGGTAATTGATGAACACGACATCTTTGACTTGGTTACCCATACTGGTGAGAGGTCTGATCCTACTGCATTCACTAAAATTATCAATGGATATTGCTTATCGCCAAGATGGAGAAAGCATTCAGGGTACTTGATGCTATGATATCAGTTGGCGTGAGGGCTGTTGTTATTACACAGCACTTAACTGACCATGGTTATGCTCTCATCTTCTTGGTATGCTCTAGATGTGTTGTTATCCTGATTGCTCCAGCGTGAACTAGAATTAGAGAAGTGTGAATTAAGCCTTATGGTTGTTAGTTGCTGTTTATCGGTAGTTGGATATATTGCCTAGTTCGAATTTCCTCAAGGCACTGCAGTATTTAGGGTGGATAGTGACCTGGCTGATTAGGTGTTGCATGCATAATTCCCTGTGTCTATGTCTTATGTATACTTCATATATCATGGATGAAAAGGGCATTTTGTAGGCTTTGCATGTTTGTGTCATTCCAAAAATGACCTATTGATAAGTTACGGTTGAGAGTTATTGCTGTCTTTCGGGGAGTAAGAGAACAGAAGAATTTCACTTCTCTGCTATAAATGATTTCTAAAGTCCAAACACTACAATTGGCCATTGATCATGAAGCTTTAGTATTTGCGCCAAATGGTTACTATGATGATATTATTAGCTGAGTTCTTCTTCCTGGCAGCACCTTGCTGTGATGATGATACTGTATTAGCCATTATGCTTATGCCTATATGTATCATTTCAGTTCAAGTTTGGCATACTTGACTCATATGTTTTACACTCGCTGTTAAAAAACCCTGATCTGTGTTTGAGCAATGAAGACATCATGGTGTGGGTGTGGCAATTATTTGCACTGCTGCTGCCTCTGCAATGGCTTTGAACTCCATGTCAGCTCTTGGATAGTATGTGGGTTGTCCTCTGTGTGAAGTGCCTCTCCTTCCTTGCAAGAGCGCTCTTGACAACAAGCTTTGCGCAGCAGAAGAGGTTCCTCATTTCGCAGGCCTCGGTCCCCACCGTGCTTGGCTTCCAACCCCTCCTGAATAAAAATTCTTCCCACTCTGATTCTAGATCACCAATCTAGATCACCAATCTTCCATTATGCATCCTTCAGCTGCTTCTTTGACCGCACTATACCGACATACTCTCACATTATGGATTGCAGCTCCATCCCGGTCTTCTTTGTCCTCTAATTGATATCAGGCCGCTCGCTGTGCCTAATGAAGATACTGGGCAATGACAATTTCTCCGCGATGAGATGAAATATCTAGAGTGGCCCATGAGATGGAGATATCTAGTCTGACAGTTGTTCATGCCCATGAGGTCATAACAGACTGTTGCTGAAGAATCAGATAAGATCTCAGCAGTGGCCCAAAACCTACCTACAAGTTTACAAATAGCTAATGACTATCAGCAAGTACTGTACCACATTTCCTACAATTTTTTTTAAGAAAATGATGTAGAAGCATAGGTGGAGAACTGCGGTCGACGCGTTTCTTGTGAACTTGTATGATTTATTAAAAGAACGGAAAAACAGGGGAGAAGAAAAAGAAGTTTTGACTGACAAGATTGATGATAATCTGTCAAGAGATTCTAATCTCATTCTTGCTTCCATGTCATTTTGGGCTAATTAGTACCCCAGTATTCTTTATTCTTTTCTAGGGACAATTTGGTACCATGTGTGCTTCAAATCTTTGGCACACATTCTTTGTGTAATAATTTTTCGAAGGACCATTCTTTGTGTAATAATGGAAGATTAACTCCTGGCATCTGCTTACAGGGATCTTTGGTGTGCCTCTCTGCCTCGTCCCTTCCGAGCAAACAAAAGAGCTACTCCATCATCTGCTTACAGGGGTCTCTGAGCAATGAGTTGCTTGCAAGACTATTTAGCACCGTGCAATTCAGTGCAAGCCTTTCACACTCGTCCGCCTTGCGGCCCAGACCGAATACCGCTGGACATGCAATGAGGCGCAGGATGCACCACATCAACCTCGTTAGGCAGTTCGGGTTTTGCTTCGACTCGCCTCCATGCGCGCGCTGGTGTACGAGTTCATGCAGCACGACACGCTCGACGCCTACCTCTTCAACCACGCCGACATGGGCATGACCACGGTCACCACCGGCGTATCGCAGGTCCTCAGGTACCTCCACCAGGAGTGCCAGCAGAAGATCATCCACTACGACAGCAAGGGCGGCAACGTCCTTCTCGGTGGAACCCTCACGCCCAAGGTAGCCGACTCCAGGCTCACGCGATTTGTGGACCACGCAGACATGCATGTCTTGGTGTCTGGCGTGCGCGGTACACCTGACAATGCGGTGCCAAAGACGTGGATGCGTTTTGGTGTGACGGAGAAGCGCAACGTTTATAGCTTTGGCATGTTGCTGCTCGTGCCCGTCGGTCGACGGAGGAACTTCGACGAGGCCGCGCCCGAGAGCCAGCAATGGTCCCTAAGCTGGCATGGACCAAGTACGAAAGTGGCCGACAAGTGGAGCTTATGACGCCGAGCTGCCATGGCATGGATGCAGTGGATGACCTGCAGTGGCAGCTGTGTAGGGGGCTGGCGGGGAGGATGTGCAAGGTGGTGTTCTGGTGCATGCAACGGCAATCGAAGGCGAAGCCGCCTATGGGCGCGGTGGTGAAGATGCTGGAGGGAGAGATGTACATTGCTTTGCCGGCGAACCCGCTGTTCCGGCATCTTATGGTCGATGTGCCGGCAGAAAATCTTTGGATGACAATGACGAGCAGCGTAAACACAACATCAGCGTTGGAAAATGATACTAGGAGTATTTCTCAAGGTGGCAACGAGATCACCTCGCTTTGATGATCAGCAGATCATTCAATCCTGAAATGAAGGTTGTCTTCTTTCTTACTCCCTTCACTCCGAGGTTTACGATTGGCAGGAGTTACAGATGAAAGCAGCCGGGACTATACGGTTATGTCTATCAGGCTAGGTCATTTATCATGTGATGGACGAGAATTCATTGAAGAAGATAAGATCTGAGACAATCCAAAAGGTCAATTTATGTCTAAAACTGCGACGACCAAGGTGTATTTGAAGCAAAAATTGTATGGGATGAAGATGCGGGAGGGGTCAGATCTTGTAGAGTGTGTTAAACCCTATAATCAAGTCGTGACAGATCTAACATGCTTGGGTGCGACCATTCCTGATGAGGATTGGGCAATTCTTCTTCTTTGTTCGTTGCCATAGTCCTATGAGCATTTAATCACTACTTTGACACACGGCAAGGAAACCATGAAGAATGCGGATATTATTGCGGCATTGCTATCTTATGATATGAGAAAGAAGAACACGGTGGAAGTCTTTCGTGGTGAAGGTTTGTTAGTCAAGGATGAGGAGCAGAGGAAGGAAAGAACAAGAAAAAGAAGGTACAATGTCACAAGTGTAAGCAGTAGGGACATATGAGAAAGGACTGTCCAAATCTCAATGACGGGTCAAGTGCTAATACGGCAACTCATGGTGATGACTTAGGCAACAGTAGTGATGTCCTCGTTGTATCATACTCCCTCCGTCCTAAAATTCTTGTCTTAGGTTTGTCTAGATACGGATGTATCTAACACTAGAACGTGACTAGATAAATCTATATCTAGACAAATTTAAGACAAGAATATCGGGACGGAGGGAGTACATGTGATCAATCAAAAGAGAAGTGTCGATGTTGGATTCAGCTAGCTCTTTCCATGGGACACCCAACATGGAGTGGTTCTCTTCATACAAGTTTGGCAGTTTTGTTTGGCCTATGTGGGTGATGACACAAGGTATCGTGTTGCTGGAGTAGGTGACATCAAAATCAAGATGTTTGACGAAGTTGTTCGGATGCTTCGAGGAGTCAGGCATGTGCCCAGCCTAAGGAGGAATCTAATTTTGTTTGGAGTTCTTCATGATGGTGGTATGGTATTCCGTTGTGGCCGGGATAACAAGACCATGAAAATCATGGAAGGTGAGGTGACCATGATGATGGGAGAGAAGATGGCTTCACATCTTTACAAGTTCCAAGGGAGCACTATCGCAGGTGGAGTCATGGAGACTATAGTTGCAAGAGTAGCAGCAGGGTCCCACAGAGGTGGCGGGTCTGGGCAGGCTCGTCGAGTAGCTCTACGTAAGATAGGAAGAAGACAACCCAAGTCCATAGTACATGGAAGTTTGATGCATGGATGAATTCAAGGTGGTGGAGAATATCTGCTAAGATGGAGTTTCTTCTGTATGTGTATATTGTGTATGAATCGGGTTATGACTTGGTGTTGTGGTGGGTAGGATATGTGTAGTGTTACTTGTAGTGTTGGATGCTCTTGGCCTCTTATATATGATGAGGCACCCCAAGTTGTAACCCATAACCACTAGATAGTGACAGGAATGGAGGGGAGCCGGTGGCATGTGTCGGCGTCCAGGGCGGCCAGTGTTACGATATCTCTGGGAGGAGCGCCCATAATCATTGCCCTGGAGAGGAGGCGAGTTCTCCTAACCTCGTTAACAAATCTCAGTGTCGTCGTCGTGTTGTGATAGCTTATTCCTCGTGGATCAGTCGTGTACCTCAGATTAATTCTAACACCCTGCTGCCTCCGGAGCTCCTTGTGGGATGTCTTCCTCCTCTCGGCGGTCGCATCTCTCTGCCCCTCTAACTACTGGCAGACCCTCATCTGTCAGTCGACCGGGCTCGGCCTTCGTGCATTAGCCTGCCTTTGTCGCTCATAAAGTGCAACGACTGCTAATGGCTGGTGCTGCTCCGGGTATCCATGAAGCGGAGAACCAGCCTAGATGGGTCTTCTACAAGTGTGAAAAGGGCAAAGTAAGTGCAATATTTTGTGAATGTTCTTCATTTCAAGTAATTTGAGCTCGTTGTTGGCCTAATACTATGCAGAAACGTTGCAACTTTTGGTATTGCAAAGAAGAACATATTGATTGATTAGGGGAGGTCAATTGGATGATGATGTACTGGTTGTTAGAGCCGTGATCACCGAGGACACAATGTCCAAGTTCTTTATGAGAAGGCAGAGACGAAACAAGTGCGCAGGCCAGAGATGTCAACGGAGAAGGGAAAAGGTGTTGACAATGAACTTAAAGAGATGAAGAAAGTAATTATTGGACTTGAAGTGGTAGTCAAGGAAGTTGTGTTTCCATTGAAGCATGTAAATTTTTTGTCTTTCTGTTTGGATGAGTTCTCCCAATGAGGAACTGGTGAACTATATGCCCAAAGTACTGTTTAATGACGTTATTGAGTAGTGAAGCTTTTAGCTCAATGAACGCAAATGAATTTGTGTTAAAAGATTTGGGAAGTTAAGTTTTAAGTGCTCCACTAGTAGAAAAGGGGGCTTTCGTTCAGGGCTGGCCAGTCCATTAGTCCCGGTTCTTATACGAACCGGGACCAATGGGTGCATTCGTCCCGGTTTGTGAGCCCAGGTGGCTGGCCGGGGCCTCGTGGGCTTTGGTCCCGGTTCGTCTGGACCCATTTGTCCCGGTTCTAGGCACGAACTGGGACCAATGGGCCGCGCTCCTGGCCCACATCCATTGGTCCCGATTCCAGCCACGAATCGGGACAAATGATTGGCCTATATATAGCCCATCGCCGGCAAGCAGAGCACTACACACTGCTCTGTTTTTTGCTGGCCGGCGAGGGAGAACATTTGGGTGCTCTAGCTCACCTCCTATGCACATGAGGTGTTCGATGAAATGTCCGAGCCACACCAGTTAATATTTCTTCTCTCGAAACTCGACCTCCGAGCTCCATTTTCACCAAGATTTGTCTAGGTTGAGCGGCCCGTCACGTCCCGTCCCCGTCTTCACCGCCGTCGATCGCCCGCGCCGATCTCGTCGCCGACACCACCGTGGTGAGCCTCTTTTTCTTATCTTCTTTCTGAAAGAAAAAAATTCTTACTTGAGATAGAAACTTGTTTAATTTTCTTACTTTTATTATTCCTTGTTATTATATAGTGCCATGGTTCTGGTATCCGCCCCCGTCGTCCCTCGTCCTGTCTATGATCCGGATGTGGTATATATTATCTTTTTATAACTATTTAGTTCATTTATTATTTATGACAATTATGCCGACCAACGTGACATAGATTTTATTTATGTAGGAGGTTGTTGAACCGGAAATTCCAACCGACCCTATTGTCGAGAGGTTAAATTTAGTTGAAGAAGAAAACAATTACTTGAAGGAAAAAAATAAAAAAATTGAGGAGGAGAAGATGATATTGGAGTTGCATGTTGCGGATGTCGTCGATGATCACAAGATCAAGATGGATGCAATGCGGTTGAAGATTGGAAAGATTAGAAAATATGCCATTCATACCGAGGCTTGGTATCATTATGCCGTTGGATCAATTGTTACCTTAGTTGTGATTATGATCACATTTGTTGTTGCATTGAAAGGTTTTACATAGTTTCAATGTATGGTTTAACTAGATGCTCTGGAGAGCTATATGTTGTTCAATTTGAGCTATGTTTGTGCTTTGGTTTTAATGTGATGATGAACTACTATTAATTTGGTCACTTATCTATCCATGTTCATTTGTAGTGCTTTTCAATTTCAGGGTCTTATAGCTGAAAAAATCAGTAAATGCATGAAAAATAACAAATGAAGTCAGAAATGGTTGAAAATTGATGATGTGGCTTTTAATGGTGCATTTTGAACACAGAAAAAGTATGGAGTTCAAATAAGTTCAAAAAATGAAATCCCTTTGTAACAGACGAGTTTCCGTATGAAACCTTGATACTTCGAAAGAGATTGTCCGTTTTGTACACGAAGTGCATCCAGTTTTTCCCGTAAGCCTCTCTACTTTCTTGCACATGCTATGTGGGTGAAATGATGATACCATGCCAACTTTCAACCTTTTCAGAGTTCATTTATAGTGCTTTTCAATTTCAGGGTCTTATAGCTGAAAAAATTCAGTAAATGCATGAAAAATAACAAATGAAGTCAGAAAGGGTTGAAAATTGATGATGTGTCTTTGAATGGTGCATTTTGAACATAGAAAAACTATGGAGTTCAAATAAGTTCAAAAAATGAAATCCTTTTGTAACAGACGAGTTTCCGTATGAAACCCTGATACTTCGAAAGAGATTGTCCGTTTTGTACACGAAGTGCATCCAGTTTTTGCCGTAAGCCTCTCTACTTTCTTGCACATGCTATGTGGGTGAAATGATGATACCATGCCAACTTTCAACCTTTTCAGAGTTCATTTGTAGTGCTTTTCAATTTCAGGGTCTTATAGCTAAAAAAGTCAGTAAATGCATGAAAAATAACAAATGAAGTCAGAAAGGGTTGAAAATTGATGATGTGGCTTTGAATGGTGCATCTTGAACATAGAAAAACTATGGAGTTCAAATAAGTTCAAAAAAATGAAATCCTTTTGTAACAGACGAGTTTCCGTATGAAACCCTGATACTTCGAAAGAGATTGTCCGTTTTGTACACGAAGTGCATCCAGTTTTTGCCGTAATACTCTCTACTTTCTTGCACATGCTATGTGGGTGAAATGATGATACCATGCCAACTTTTAACCTTTTCAGAGTTCATTTGAAATGCTTTTCAATTTCAGGGTCTTATAGCACGAAATAATCAATAAATGCATAAAAATTTAATAGCAAAAAGAATTATCATAAAATAAAATAAATAAGTAATTTGAAACAAAATAATATAAATATTAATAAAATATATAAGTAGAAACAAAATAAAATAAAATAAAATAAACTTTAATAACATAAATAAAATTTATGAAACTAAAATTAGCAAAGTATTTTCCGTTCAAAACATTATAAGCAACCTCTAAAATTTATGAAACTAAAATTATATAAAATTGATGC